CTTTCTTAGAAGTGAAGAAAGGTGTGGGTGAAGCGAATAGAAGAAGGCTTCCTTCTCTTTGTTGCCACTTTGCTTCTCCTACTCTCCTATTCTAAATTGTGAGTGTTGGCTGTACAGAGGGCTAGGAGCCTGCCTGAGACGTCAGAAGGCCACAGTTAGGGTTAGCAGCTCCGGGTGTGTGCGGGCTGCCAGCTGCACCGTGACAGGAGATTAAGAGAGATTGAGATTCAACTCTGACAGGCCTGACACAATTTATTTGGAAATTTTCGGGAGAGAACATGAGTAATAAAGACAAGAACAGTGACAGTAAGGAACAGATGTGAATTTCTGTCAGAGACAAAAAAGAATTTTAAAAGAAGTAACTCTGTTTGTTGTCTGCAGTCAAGCTTTCCGGTTAAACTGTTCCTAAATTCAGAGTCTTACCACTACTTTCTTTGATTGGCTAGGAAAGTACAATTAGAAGAATTTCTCTCTTCAGAAGTTTAGGTGTTTTTAAAATCACTGTACTTGTTTCTCTGTCACAAATTAAGCAGTGATTACCTTCAAACCTAGGAAACTGATAGGTAAAATAGTTTTTCTTAAGATTTTCCTTTCTCATTTAATCACATTATGATTCTTGATCGGACTTTCCTTTGACTAGGAGATCTTTCTCACACTATTAAACATAGGCAGAGGGAGGGGGTCTGGTGAGTACCAGGAACTGTGAACCTGCCATAGGAGTGTGGTGGCTCTTGCATGGGTATATACAGACAAGATTATGCTTCAAGAAAAAGCATGCTGGAAAAAAGATGCTTTGTTGGCCCTTTATGAAGGACCTTAATTAGAAGTCACTCTTAACTCCTGGGGAGGAAACAATTTCTAGCTTGGCACTACAGCTCCTCCTGCTGCTAATGAGCATGCTCCTTGCAAGGACTCGTTTCTTCTGACAGTTAAAACTGCATATAAGAGTTATTTCTGTTCACCTTTCTCTCCACGTTTAACCCTTACTGCCTAAGCTCAGATTATGCAAGTAGACTGTTAGGTGCTTTCCATCATTGATGAGGAAATTAATAATGCTTCAGGGTAACAGGAATGACGCTTTTGAGCAAAAAGTAAATGATCAAAGTTTCGTTTATTCAAATATGGGCAGTAGATGAGGGTTCCTTTAGTGTTGGCCATGTTTGGGTCTTTTCTTTCTAGTAGTCCTCTTTTAATTGACATAAAATTTGTATTGAATAGTTGAATTATTTAGTTCATTATTATGTTATTAGAATCCCTGCCCTGGACATCTGTTTCTCTTATTTAGGCAACTCATCCCATGGCACAAAGTTTCATTAAGTAATTAGCAGAGGAGATGTAAATTTCTTATGCAGACATGATGATGATCCTGTAGACTGCTACTTATTTCATTAGCTCCTAATTAAAACACAGTTGACTTGTGAGAAAATGCCAAAGAATGGTTTGCTTCACCAAGAAGTTATATATAACACAGTCACCTTCCTGGATGGCAGCATGTGAAGTCTGGTAAATGGTTTAAGGAGCTTAATTCCCCTCTCTCTTTGCGGTAGGGAGCACTAGAGGGCACAAGGGTTCCTTTAATAGATTATCAACTGAGTGAAGGTTAAGTGGGCATATTCCAGAGCGTGAAAGTTAAGGATCTCTTAATGTCTGGGAATAGTTCCTTGATTCTAAAAAATAACACATTCTGGTAAACATTTCATCTGTCTTGGTTTAGAATCATTGAGGACTACTTCTCATGACTCAGACTTTCTATACATGGATGGATGCCTTTGGTCTTAGACTTATACAGATGCCGAGACATTGACTCTCAAAGGACTGACTAGGGCTGAGTGGTGTTCTTTTAGGATGGCCAGTGCAGTGCAGCCAGAAGCTGTTGGCAGCATCAGAAACCTCCCTTAGGACCCATTATTTCAGGAACATCCTGTGTCTCCTGCCTACCAGAACAAACAACTCAGTAGTCTTTAAATATAATGTGGAATGGATAAAGGAAAATTTCAGCATGACACCATGTAGACTTGTTCCTTAGTATTGATATTGAATGGTCATTGGTCAGACAGGTGGGAAGGTAGAAGAAAAGAGATCAGGCCTGGACAGGCCTCCTGATTTTGAGGGGTCTCATCAAGTGGGTTGTTTGGTGATGACTAATGATGATTATGGTAATATAAATATGAATTCTAATTTCCCAATTTTAGGAATCGTACATTAAAAAATATTTTCTTCACATTATCATTCCCTTTCTTATTTGAAAATAATTAGCTATGGATAACATTGCTACACTGAAAGAAAAATTGTCTTCTCCTTGTAGCAAAGGTTTGCTTTAGAAATGGAGATGGGTACTATACAGGTACACAGCACGTTTGACAGTTTGAAACAGACTCACGTGGAAAACAGCTTTGAATGTGAACTCTGCGTTTCCAGAGACATGCTCGGTCGTATCACGTGGTGGTGTGAATGAAAGAGGCTTAGGGTCTGAATGGTCCTCTTTTACATTAGAGGTGTGCTGGCATCACGTCAAGGCGCTTTGGATTTGCAATATTAACAATATTGTTAATTATTAATTTACCAATATTAATAATGCAAAGGCTTCAACTGCCTCCCCTTCTTGTGTGGACCCTTCTCTTTCTCCTCCCCAATGCCACCCCTGGGATTGGTGGATAATTTCTTATAAGGGTGCTCCAATTTAAGACCTTGTCTTGGAACAAACACCATTTTTTTGTTATGGCTTTTACTCTAGAATTTTCTCTTCTTGTTACCAAAAAAAAAATGTCTAAATAGAGTTATTAATACAAACAGTGTCTTTGCTGGTTTGTGAAAAAGGACCTCCAGAGAGCGATGTGGCTCAGACAAGGTGAATTCCTTTCAGCTGGCTGCTTTGTAATGATTTACATTTAGATTGTTGCTTGTTGCTCTTGTAGGGGAAGGGGGAAGAGGGCCTGGCACGTCTGTGGCTGCCTCAGTCATCACACTGACTGGGTTTGGACAGCTTCTCTCAGCAGAGCTGGGAAATAGGCTGAACTTGCTTTAGTTGTTTCCATCAAAGGCCTTGTTTAGTTGTTCATATTGGGGGAGAATGTCATCTTGGACTGGAAGAACTAAATGAGATGAAAAATGAAGTTTGTGATTGCTAAGAAGGTGCGTGCCTTCTGTAAGTCAGTGCACAATGCAGAGACTGGGGGCTGTGAGCAAACAGTTAGCATTGTCGTTTCGCTGCCAGTGAGTGCCCTCGGGTGAAGTGCAGCACCTCCTTTACACAGAGGAAGGCTGGGGAACGGGATACAGACGGCCTTCACTGAAACACATCCAGTAGTCTGCTGCTTCTCACTAGAGTCACTTTAAATAGAAAATCAGGGCTGCCTGGGAGAAGATTTCATTCATTCAAGAAATATTTACTTGAGTTATCTGGGGGCACATGAATGAACAAAGCAGGTGAAACTTCCTGTGCTCTTGGAGTTTACATTCTCCTGGCAGGTGAGGTTAAAAGATAAGTGCTATGGAGGAATAAAAAGCAGGAAAAGGGAGGAGGGGAAGTGCGGGGGCGGGGGGAGGCGTGGAAGAAGAGTAGATAGAGTGATCAGGGAAGAAGACTTCATTGAAAATGTGACTTCAGAGACTTAAAAGAGGTGAGATCCCATGTAGATCTGGGTGAAAAGTGTTCCAGACAAAGGAAACAGAAGGTGCAAAGGCCCTGAGGTAGGAGACAATAAGGGGGCTGGTGTGGGTGGAGCAAAGAGCGAGAGCAGCAGGAGATGAGGTGAGAGAGATGAGAGGAGGGCAAATCATACAGGGCCTTTTGAGGGTCATAATAAGTATCTGAACTTTTACTCTGAGAAGGGGACCTATTAAAGGGTTTTGAGCAGGGCAGTAAAGTGATTCTAACTTGATTTTTAACAGGATCACTTGGCTGCTGTATGGAGAAAAGACTGTAGGGGGTTAGGGGGTAAATAGGGAGACCAGTTAAAAGACTATTATAGTAGGCTGGATGAGATGGTGATGGCTTAGGTCAGAGTGGTGGTAGTAGAGGGGTGAAAGGTGGTGGGATCCGGATCTGTTTTGAAGAAGATGCTTTAGGTGACTCCCTTCCAGAGGTGGTTTAGAACAAACTGCTTTGGAACCTCGGCAAAAGGTACATCCTCAGTATGCAGTGGTGGCAGTTCCAGGAGTACAGAGCCCCCAAGTACTGCCTTTCTTTTGAAGGCAAGAATTATTTACAGCCTGCCTATTGCATGAACTTTATTGCATTTTAGTTACTTTTTTAAGGTTATACAAAACACAAGTTATCACATGCTACACCTCCCTCCACCTGCCAGTTTGGCACCAACCCTTGAGTTGTGGCTCCAAATGCTGCCTCTATCGCCCCACAGTGGAGGCCATGGGGACAGCTTGCTTATGAACAAGCAGGCATGCTCCCTTCACTCTGAATAAATTTGGAATAATTTTCAATATTAGAAGCTGATTCTTGTATGTATATGAGTAGAAACATGATCATTTTTACTAGAAAAGATTATGGATCACCCATCAAACACTGGCTTTAAGTATGGGATTGTGCTAAGCCTGGCGATATAAAGAAATATTAAACATAGTCCTTTCTCTAAAGAATTACAGTCTACTTGAAGACAAGCAAATATCCAAGAAGAGGTAGATAACCAATACAGGCAGTGAACAGCCAGCGCCAAAAGAAGGGGTACCAAGAGAGGATCCCATTTCTAGCTCGAATGGTCTCCTCATAGAGACAGCTGTTTTTGAAAACAACGACATAGAACTGATTTTTGTTGAGCCACCCCTACCCTCCTCTCCTAGTTCAGGCCTAGCTTGTTAGAAGTCAACCCTGAAGGCTTGGTACAGTATAAACCAGGGCAGTCAGAACTGGCTCTTGCTTATACAGGTCCGGTTCCTGGAAAAGAGCAGTAGCCTGGTCAGAAGAATGCCTGGCACTACATTAATCAGTTGTGCTTGCCAGGCTGAGTACTAATCCTGACCCTCAAATGTGTTATTTTGGTCAGATTCACAGTCTGAGAATGAGGCTTCGCCAGTGAAACGGCCACGACTACTGGAGAATACTGAACGATCCGAGGAAACGAGCCGATCTAAACAGAAGAGTCGACGCCGGTGCTTCCAGTGCCAAACCAAACTGGAGCTGGTGCAGCAGGAATTGGGATCGTGCCGCTGTGGTAAGCATCTCCCTGAGTGGCGTGATGGAGTCTGTTGACAGTCTGGCATAGCTTTGGAAATTATTCCGAAGAGACTGAAGTCCTTAGGACCTGTCTGCAAGCTATAGGTTTGGAGCTTGAGAAATCAGGAGTAGAGGCTTCTTACTTCCAAACACCCTTGATTTCCTCTCACACGTACAAGAAAGGCAAAAACATCCCCAACTACTCTTACACGTGTTTGTTTAGAGTTGCATTGTCACTGCTTACTGCTTTCACCTTCTCCTCTCCCCACTGCATGTTGTGCTTCTTGCACATCAAGTCTCCTTGATGACTTACTTAGAAATTAACCAAACCAGCATAATTCTGGGATATGTACCATATAATTCAGACATTAAATTAATTTTGAATGAGCGTCTTACTATGTATAATCAATGGAAGATTTCTCCCCCCCATCCCTTTTAAAGTTTAGTTAGAAAATTATTTTCTTTGAACCGTAACTCATCAGTTAACCCCTTGAAATAGCTTTAAAGTAACCTTTCGTTCTGTGTTACCGAGTGTAATACCAACTCTTAGAACTGCTGCGCAGGGATGTATTTTTTAGAACTTTATGCCTACTCACAGTGGAACAAAACTGGGACCAGTCCTTCCTTTGACCACATCTGTCATGTCACAAAGAAGCAAAATTATGTAGCTGCGTTCTTTGGGCTAACTTAAGTTTTCCTGTCCCTGTTTTTATGTAGTATTGTGAAAGTGTTCTGTGGGACCAGAGGTATCATCAGGCAGACTTTGAGGCCTGGCTCTAGCCTCTGAGAATCCTATATCCTTTGTCCTTAGGAGTAAGTTTTGGAAGCCTCCTTTCACTTCTGGGACAGCCATAGATAGCCTCAAGTACTGATGCTGGCAGTCAGGATTAGATGATTCTCTCAGCAGTGAGAAAGTTATAGTTACTCAGAGTCCTTCGTCTTCTGAAGAGACAGCCGTTGCTGTTCTTGTCCCTCAGTTATCTGCCCTGTCGGAAATGAGACAAAAGGAGGGAATACCAGCTTCTCATGGAAGCTAAGTTGGAACTCCTGCTGTTCCTGTCATGACTAGGAATCTGTTTGTTGCATACTCCGGTGTGTGGTACTTAATAAGACCAGAAGCTTATATTCAGCTTCAGAAATGAGGAACAGCATGGGGAGTTCAGGTGTCACTGGACAAGTTTTTATTTTTCAGCTTGGCATTTACTTATTCTATTATATGTTTCTGTGAAAGTGTAAACAGGAGAGGTGGGAGGAGAGGCTGTCAGCAGAGTTCTCAAACTTTGGTTGTGTTCATGCATGTGGCATGGCCAGGTGAGCCTAGAACCTTATTCTTAGGCTGCGTCTTTATCAACCCTGCCAGGTAATTTCAAATTCTGGGTGAGGAAGGGAAGGAATACTGTGGTTAGCCAAGGAAACTCTGGGGCCTAATGGCTAACCAACTTTGCCCGTATTGAAGAGTTCGTCTAATCTTTTGTAGTCTGCAAATTCTTGCTTTGGTCTTCACGTGAACTATTGGGGGATTTCAGTAGTTCAGTCTATTACCAGTGTTGTGAAGGCTGCCTGACCATTTTGCCTGTTGCTTTTATAACACAGGCCTTGGGTTGTTCCTAAATTAGAATCATGGGATTTCCCTGTACCTTATGTTCTTGTTTCCTTCTTGAAAGTAACTGAATCCTGGGTATTACACAGGATTTGCACTAGCAGATCAAGCAATTGGTCCATCAAGTGTGCTGTCTTGCCTCTGGCGGTGACTAATACCTCCTCTGCATGTCAGGCAAGCAGTGAGAATTCACACTTTAGCTGAGAGATCCAGAGGTGTTGTAACCTCTCACAGTTCACCCTTCAGCTTGGATGCAAACTCTCATTTCCTAAGGTCTTAAGCACCCAGCTGAAGAAATTTAGAAATAAGTGATAGATGGCTTCACGTGCTCCTGAGTGAAGCCAGCTTGCTTGACTATCTCTGATGAGTGCAGATTACTCTGCCGTGCTCTTCACCCCCTGGGCAAGAGGCTGGATTTCTAAGTGCCTTTTGGATTTGCCACAGACATGCATTCTTTTTAAATGATCTAACACGTAGTCCCTTGGCCTGTGCCCAGTTCTGAGGGCCTGCTTATAGAGAGATTTGATTTTTCTTTTGGGGAAGAAAGCCCTGAGCTTTCTGCAGTCCCTCCAGAGGGAGCCTTCCTAGAGAAAGCTGGGAGTTCAGTTTGGACCACTGAGAGCATTGCACTTACGTGCCCAGAAAAATGACTGAGTCTGCTGCCACATTTTAAAAGATGAAGGACAGCAATGGGAACACACACCTCTGGGAATGTCTTTGACAAATAGCTCTTGTGTTCCTCCTGCCTGTCTGCTTGGATCTCCCTAGGAAAGGGTGAGCTGTGTAGTTATTTCCTTCAGGATGCATGGAGTGTGGAGAGACGTTTAACTGCCCTGAAAGGTTTTAGAGTGGGGGGAAACAGTAATTTACTACTGAAAGTGAAGACTCAGGAAGGTAGTTTGAACTCAAACATAACACTTCTCCACTGCAGAAAATCTTTTTTTAATATATATATTCACCATCTTTTTTTCCATTCCCCTTCCACTCTGTACAGGTTATTAACTGCTGACAAGAAATTCACATCTCATAAATAATGCTTAAGAGCCATTGCTATATAAATTGAATGTGTTATGAATTGTGATGGGCCTTTTTGTAGCATTCGATGCCTGGAGCAGGAAGAACAGAGGATGTCATTTTCATTAATTTCTAATGAGGTGCCAATTAAAGACAGGGAAGACGTTCCAAAGGGAAGAGTGGCCGAGCTCCCCTGAATCCTCCGCCCCAGGGCTGTCATCCAAACACTACCAGCAAGCCTTCTCTAAAAATTCCATTAAATTACAGTCTCATCGAGAGCACACACAGACACATTCAGCTTCCCTTTGATCTTCAAAAGAGCAATTTGTAAGGCGAGTTCTGAGTCTTCTCATAGGGAACAGCTAGAGGTGATAGGAATTGTTAATTGCCAAGACACTCCATGGGCTTTCAATAAGGAGGTGAATTTTGAAGTTGAATTCCCCTCTGCCTGGCTGTGACTAGATAACCTTTAAGTCAACAATACCTAAGTAACACCCTGTTCCTGTGAAATCTTTCAGGGTGCCAATTAGAAGAGGCATGTGGTGAGTCTGGGATAATATCCTGCATCCTAGAGTATCTTCAACAGTTTAACTTCTCAAGATAGAAAACAGTTGCATAAAAATGGATTTTATTTGTTTCGTTTTCTACTCAGTAGGCAAATTGATCAGCTCGTTCTCATTACAGGAGTCATGTCTCTCCAAATGCCACCTAGAGGATGTTCTTCTGAAATCTGGCCATCCTCATTAAATCTGAGCCACATCACAGCCACATGAATGGTGTGTTCTCTAAGCAGATCTCACATGATACACACAGCATGGCTTTTTAATCACTGTGCATTGCTTCCCAGAACCACAGAATGAATTTTTAAATACCAGTCTAAGAGCTTGCATAAGTTATCACGTATTTTCACTTGACACTGACTTAACAAACTCTAAGCTGCTATGCTCCCTTTTGGGACAACAGTGCTTTTTACTAACCTCCGGAGTAATCTGACTTCCTTCATTCCTTTCAAAATAAATTTTAAATTCACTTTAGAAACTCAGAATGATACTTTAGCTGGGACCTTTAGAGTAGTTTATCATCTCTAAGTTCCTAAAGAAAAATGGTCATTTTTGCTTTGTCATTTCACTGTCAAAGTAAATTCAGCAAGCATTTGTTGAGATACGACTGTGCACAAAGCATTTTGCTAGCTTTTATGGGGAATATAGAAGCTAGAAATATAGAATATAGGAGCTCATAGTCCAGGTCAGCGGGCAACAGAATCACATGGAAGATATGTTAAGACAAGATTGCTAGGCCCACCACCCAGAGGTTCTGATTCAGTAGGTCTGTGCATATTGAACAACTTCCTGCTTGGAGGATGTTGATGCACTAGTCTGAGGACCATTCTTTGAGAACTGCTGCACTAGGCAGTTCTCAATCCTGGGAAGCTTTTAAAAAATAGAATGTCTGGGGCTCACTCTAAGCAAGTGAATCAGAAAAGGTCCCCAGGTATGGTTCCTAACTTTTTATTTGGAAATTAAAAGTTTTTTCCAGGACCATTTAAGAGTAAGTTACAAAGATCATGGCCCCTATATTCCTATAAACTTCAATGAATGTTTCTAAAGAATAGTGATATTATTTTTATAATCATAGCACAATTATCAATTTAAGTAAATTGATACTGATACAGTACTTTATCAAATCTCTCATCCGTATTCCAGTTTTGTCAGTTGATCCAATGATGTCCTTTATAAAAGATTCTTTTCCTCTCCAGTACAGAATCCAGTCCATGATCAAGTATTGCATTTAGTTGTGGTGTCTCTTTAGACTCTCTTAACCTGGAACGTTTTCACAGCCTTTCTTTTTTTTTTTTTTCTAATGATACTGACATTTTTTAAGACCGCATCTCCCCAACCCCACCCCTACAGTTTTGTTTGTGTTTTTTTTAATAGAACACTCTTCATTGTGGGTTTGTCTGATGTTTCTTCATGATTTGGTTCAGATTACACATTCCCAGCTAGAATACTACCTAAGTGGTCTGTCCTTCTCGGGGTTTTGCATTTGGGAGGCACAGATATCCATCAGCCTCTCATTGTTGATGTTAATTTTTATTTACTCACCCAGTCAGGGTATTATCCAATTTCTCCACTGTATAGTTACTATATTTGCCCTTGCAATCTGTGAGATAATATTTTATGACCATGTAAACATCCTACTCCTCATCAAAAATACCTCCTAGATTTAGCATTCATTGATGATTTTTGCCTAAATCAATCTTTACTATGATGATTGTGAAATGATGATTTTCTAATTCCAGTCCTCCTACATTTACCCTTTGGCTCTCAGTGTTCTTCTGTAAGTGAGAACCCTCCTCCTCCATTTATTTATCTATTATATGTATG